AAAAAAAACTCAAAATGGATTAAAGACTTGAACGTTAAGACCTAGAAGAAAACATAGGTGGTAAACTCCCTGACATCAGTCTTGGCAATGTTTTTTTAGAAATCTGACACCAAAAGCAGAAGCAACAAAAGCAAAAATAAGTGGGACTACATCAAACTGAAAAGATTCTGCATGGCAAACAAAGTCATAAAACAAAAAAAAGGCAAACTACAGAATGAGAGAAAATACTTGCAAATCATATATTTGATAAGGGGCTAGTATCCAAAATATATAAACTCATACAACTCAACTGCAAAAAAATAAATTCAATTAGGAAGTGGGCAGAATCTCTGAAGAGACATGAACAGATGCTCAACATCATTAATCGTCAGAGAAATGCAAATCAAATCCACAGTGAGATATCACGTCACACCTGTCAGAATGACTATTATCAAAAAGACAAGAGATAAGCGTTGGCAAGAAAGTGAAGAAAAGGGAAAGTTTGTACACTGTTGGTGGGAATGTAAATTGGTGCAGCCACTGTGGAAATCAGTATGGAGGTTCCTCAAAAATCAAAATTAGAACTACCATATGGTTCAGCAATTCTACTTCTGGGTGTTTATCTGAAGAAAATGAAAACACTAATTCAAAAAGATATCTGCCCTCCCATGTTTATTGCAGCATTATTTACAATAGCCAAGATATGGGCAACCTACAAGTGCCCATCAGTAGATGAATGGATAAAGAAGATGTGGTATATGTATACAATGGAATACTATTCAGCCATAAAAAGAATGAAAGTCTGCCATTTGTGACAACATGGATGGACCTGGAGAGCATTATGCTAAGTGAAATAAGAGAAATACAAATACCATATGATCTCACTCATATGTGGAATATATATTATTTCCAAGTTAATAGATGCAGAGGACAGATGAGAACCAGAGGTGGGGCGAGGGGGGGGAACTGTCTGTGGGGGGAAGCGAGAAGTGGGTGAACTGTTTTTGTTTTTGTAAATAAATGCAATTATTTAAAAAAATAATACAAGTGGGCAACAAGCGTATGAAGACATGCCCAGGGGCTTCCGTGGTGGCGCAGTGGTTAAGAATCCACCTGCCGATGCAGGGGACACGGGTCGAGCCCTGGTCCGGGAAGATCCCACATGCCACGGAGCCACTAAGCCCGTGCGCCGCAACTGCTGAGCCTGTGCTCTGTAGCCTGTGCGCCACAACTACTGAGCCCACGTCCCGCAACTACTGAAGCCCGCGTGCCTGGAGCCCATGCTCCGCAAGAAGCCACCGCAATGAGAAGCTCGCGCACCGCAATGAACAGTAGCCCCCACTCGCCGCAACTAGAGAAAGCCCGCGCGCAGCGACGAAGACCCAACGCAGCCAAATAAATAAATTTATAAAAAAAAGAAAAAGACATGCCCAGTTTCATGAACATCTGGGAAACACAAATTAATGCAAGACATTTTTTTCGTCCATTAGATTGAAAAAGAAAGAAAACCACATCTGAATAAGCCACACTTTATTCGTATTTAATTACCCTAATACTCAGCACTGCACAAATCAGATCTCAGCAGAAACCAAGTCCAGACGTTGGCATTAACCACTCTTCAAGCACCAGGACTCAGACAGCTTCCCGGAGGAGCCTTCCCGCCCTCCCCGCAGCAGGAGCCCCCGGCCGCCGGGCCTAGAGTCCGTGGAGGTGGGAGTGGGGGCGGCGGCGGGCGGGGCACCGTGGTCGTGCCCTCAGAGCCAGAGGCCGCAGGAGCCCGGGGCTCAGCCTGGCACCAGCGGAGCGCACGCCTGCCGCCCGGTGGCCCGAGGGCAGAGGCAGAGCCGTCAACTACCAAAGCCCACGTCCTCGCTGGACGGGAGTTTGTAAACATCCAGACAGGGCAGCGCCGCACACCCGCGACGGGAGGGCGCCGGGCCGGCTCCCCGCATCCCTGGACCCAGCCTCTGCGGCAAGGGATGCGGCCTGCCCTCGGTTTTACTCTCTCCTCAGCGGCTCGCTTTCATCGCTGTGCCCGGGAGGTGTCCTCTCACTTCCGCCCCCGCTCACGCCGGCCGGTCGTCCAGCCGCCCCGCCCCCCTCCCCGCCCCCTGCGGCCCGCACTTCACGCGGCTGCCGAGGCGCCGTGACCAGGTCGGCCGCCCGCCGCGGGCTGCTTCTCTGGCGCCACCGCCGTGCTGGGCGCTGTGCTCCGTCACAGCTCCTGGGAGGCAGGGTCGTCGCTCCCCGAGCGCCTACGGGGTGCGCGTGCAGCTGCCACTAGGAGATGCGTCGGTGGTGGCGGGGGCGGCGGCTCAGCCCCAGCGCCGCCGCCGGGACCCGCCTCGCGCAGTCCAGGGCCTACTCCATTTGCTTCAGCGCTCTGGAGAAGTTTTCCAGAGCAGTTTTGAAGGCTTGCAGCAAGAGCGTTCCGAGTTCATTGCTCGTTTCTTGAATGTCCGGGTCGAAGCTTCCGAAGAGGGGCGTGGAGACCCGGATGTCGTCGCGGCCGGCGCGCAGCAGCAGCGCGCGCAGGTCCTCTGCGATCGCGCTGTATTTCTGCTGGTCGAATTTGGACATGGCCAGCTCGTCCTGTGGGTAGGCGCTGCCCTCGGGGTAGCAGTCCCTGGGCACCGGGAACTCCACGCTCTGCAGCCGGGGGAGCCCACAGAGCGCCACGAAGAGGCGCCGGAGCGCGCGGGCCGACATTGGGTTCCCCAGGAAGCGGAGCTCCCGCAGCCGGCGGCAGGGGCCCAGGGCCAGGCTCAGCGCGCCCACGTGCCGGTCCGCGAGGCCGCACTCCTCCAGGGTCAGGGCTCTCAGTGTCGGGGCGGCCTGGCCCAGCAGCCGGAAGAATGTCGAGGGGAACAGGTCCACCAGGCAGTGCCCGCTGAGGTCCAGCACCTCCAGGTGGGCGGCGTGGGTGCAGTTCGCCAAGAAGGCCATGTCCGCGTGGTTCAGGGCGCAGTTGCCCAGGTCCAGCACTCTCAGCGGAGTCCGGAGGGGGCTGCGGGCAGGGCAGGAAACAGCGCGGTGAGAGCCGGCCCGGCAGGCGCTCTGGGGGCCACACACACCCTCCCTTGATTGCATTCAGCCTGAGAGCTGAAGTGGGTTTTACCTTTTTAAGTAGTCGAACAAGTCAAAAGAATAATATTTTGTGATACGTGAGAATTACATGAAATTCAGGTTTCAGTGCGGGTAAGTAAAGCGTAATCAGAACAGCCGCGACCTTCATTTACTTCCCGTTTGTGGCTGCCCTGGGGCAACGGCAGAGCTGGGTCAGCGTGAGACCGTGCGTAGCCAAGGCCGCCGTGAAGACTTAACTTCACCCAAGGACAGGCCTGGCCTTTGTCCTCAGCAATTAAAGTGATCAGTCTGTTTTGTCAACAAGGCGTTGTGTGTTCCCAAGCTTGCTGAGGGGGCAGTGAGTTGCCTGTGAATTGGCAGGAAATGAAACACTGGCTTGGCTCTGCAAGAAGAGCCCGAGCCCACAGGATCAGGGCCGGGAGGAGTCCACCCTCAGCACTGCCTGGGACCTCGGGGACCCTCCGTGCTCTCCTGTAGGTGTGTAGGCGGCGGCCATGCGGAAACGCACAGTCGGTGGCTCCCTGCCCAGAAGTTCTCAGAGTCGGGAACAGACCCATAGTGGCCCTCCGGGATCCTGGGCCTGGGTCTGGGGTCACCTGGCTGGGCACTGAGTGCCGGGGCCTGGGGGGGGAATGGGTCCGCTCTCTATTCGCCTGCTGAGGCTGCTGCTCCCACCACCTCCTGCACCTGTACTCTGGGCGCTGAGTGTCGCGGGCCCAACCACCGTCTGCACCATCCACCCCGCAGCGGGCTCTGTGCCTCCTTGCCCGGCTCTGAGGGGGCTGTGGCTCGGGCCCTGAGCTGTGGGGCGTGTTTCCACCTCCATCTCTCACGCCCACGTCCATCCATGAGGGACCCTCTCCCCACCTGCACTGCTCGCAACCCCTCGGGGGGCCTCCTGTGTGGACAAGGGTCAGAGGACAGGCCTGACTGCGAACCGCGTCTGGGAGCTTGGATTTGGGGAGGGTCCCTCACTCAGCTGATAAGGGGTCCCTGGCCTGAGCTGTGTGCACAAGCAACGTGGTCCCTGCTGACACCTGCCTCCTCTGGGGTCTGGAATCTCGGCACATGCCAGGCTGAGGCGCCCACCCAACCAGCCCCCAGGAAAACGCCTGGCCTGGGTCTCTCATGCACTCCCCAGTGGACGGCACCGCCCATGTGCCGTCACGGTCCGTGCTGGCTCCACTGCGACAGGACCCTGGACTCATGCCCCGTCTCCCCGAACCCCTCCCCACAAGCCCTTTCCCTTGGCAGATTCTGCCGTGTCCGTCTGCTGTAATGAATCTTAGCAGTGAGTCCTCCCAGGGAGTCACGAAACCTGGGTGGTCTCGGCGTGTCTGCTCTGTCTGCCACTCTCCCTGCCCCTCCATCTGGGTCTGCTGTGTGGGCCAGGGAAGCCAGAGCGAGCCCTGTAATATGAAGCTGATCACCCACTGCCCTGCTCAGCGCCTCCAGGGCTTGGCCCGGCTTCTCTGTCCTCCTCCTCCTCTCCCTGCTCCCTTCTTCACCCGCCCAGGACCACAGCCCCCGTCCCCGCGGCCCCAGCCCCGCCCCGCCCAATCCCTGCCTACGGCCCTG